CAAATAACTTAAAGATTCAATAATAGAGGATTGGCTATATAACATGGTACAGTTGGATATATTACTTTATTGCCATTAAACAAGAAGCTTCAGGAAAGCATTTACCGCATGTGAAACACCAATGACTTATAGAGTGAAAAAAAGCAGGCTATCAAACCAAAATGCCTCATTTTTAGAAAGGAAATTATATGTCATCAAGTCAGAACTGACTCATAGCTAATCCTCCAGCATATTTTCACAGGAAGTGCTGCCAAACCAAAGGCATGAGGTTCAAATTCACCAGCTGCTCTGAGGAAGAAAGCTGTAATTTACTGTCCTGAAAACCTGCTGGAGGGTCAGCTCTGGGTTGGTTCTGACTTAGTGATGCACAGCAAATCTCAGGGAAGACTTCCCATCATTCTCCTACAGCAAAGTCGATGTATTCACATGACCAGGCTTTGTGTGGCAGCCCAATTCCTTACATCTAGGCCAAGGGCTTTTCCCAGCCAGTAAAGTCCTGCTGCCCTGCAGTCAGCTTCCATTTGCAAAGTGATCTAGACCCCAACTCACTCCTATCTTCTGCACACTCCACTGGTCAGATGGCTTCAGGATGAGTGAGGCAGAAGGAACCTGCCCTCAAAGGCTACCCAGTCCTCCAGAGAAGAAAGCCTTACCAACAAAGCCTTACCAACTTACAGCTCTTGAGCCCCACCTGCTGTCCCTCCTGTGCAGGAGCAGACCCACCTTACTGCCTGTAGCAGGTTAATGCCTCCATCAGATCTCTTCAGTTTTTATGCCATTCATTATGACTCTAATCCTAGGAATTTACCTTTCTCTGGACCTTTGACAGTGGAGTTACCACAAGTCAACTCTCTCTTTCTGTGTCTCATCACTGTGGTGTCCCACAAACTCATAGCTGACCCTCTATTGGGTTTTCAAAGACTAAATCGTTTGAGGGCAGCCCACTGCTCTCTTTTAGGGCTGCTGGTGGATTTGAACCTGTAAAGATGCACCACATTTAATTTAGTAGCACAGCTCCTTACAGACTACACCACCAGTGAGGAATGAAATAAGAAAGCAAAAAACAAAAACACAACCAAAGGAACATTTTCTAAATTAAAAAAAAAAATTATTTGACCAAATGACAATGCATGAAGATATTTTAAACTTGTTCTTTTTGGACAAAAATGCATCTTTATTATAAAGTAAATACTGACAATTAAATGGTACTTAAAATTAGAAAGAAAGAAGTTTCTATAAGCAATATGTCTGTATAAAGCACTCACAGAATAGTCATGTGCTATAAAACCAGGTTATAACAGAATAATCTGTAAGTTGTAGTTAAAAGCAGGTTTCTTAAATGTACGACACTCACAATATAACATTATAAACACAGTATTTTGGAGGTGCTGTGACAATGGAAACACGGTTAAGGGCAGTGTGGAAGTGTCCCTCATGACGAGCAGAACCCAAGTAAATTGACTGTGACTCCACCCTGTGTCACCCACACAGCATCCCAACCTTCCAGTCTTCAGGAATCTGAATTGAGTATGTGGACATTCATAATTATCTTGGCACAAAGAGATCAAGAAATTTGTAATCTGGAGAGAAATAAAAACTGAGACAGGGCAGAGTCCAAGGTTTCTACAGAGCAGCTTTAGGAATGACCAAGAAAATGAAGGAAAAAACGCAGGTACATCTTTGGCGTTCTACCCTGTGGACTGCAAGGAGGAGGGACTGATCTACAGAGCCCACTGCCTGGTCAGAACCCACACTACATATTAACACGAAATCTTCAAAGGAGAGTGAAGTCCCTCCTTAGCTGAACTGGGCACAGTGAAGTGTGGAGGATACATCAGCTTTTTCTATAGGTTTTTCCCACATTCCAAGTGATTCTATTTTGGGGACCCTAATGGCGACTGGGAGACAAGAGCTGACAGTTTTAATTAATAATTTCCAAAATGATTCACACATGTAGAAGAATCAGGTACAAGGAAAGACTTCGAAGTGCGCAGAGAGCTGATAGCAAAGCACAAAGGTGTCCATTGATTAAAGATGTCGAGAAAGAAGAACAATCCCAGAAAGCAAAGGATAGTAGATAAAAAAATAACTGTATAGCACCCATTACTAATTTAAGATACATACACACTGCTGAGGATCTATTTAGTTATAAGCTATTGTTTTAATAAATGGAAATATTTTTGAGAGTTTCAAACTAGTATAAGTGACAAATGTGCTCCAATGGAAATGTTCCAGGGGCTGGGGGTGGTGGGGAGAAAAGTGCAACAATGAATGAATGGAATTCCAAAATCTCTGTAGATGTTCACTGAAATTAAAAAAATAAACAAATAAAAATAAAAAAATTTAAAGAAAAAGAAATGTTCCACTCCAAATTTCCACATTTAACTTGATGCAGTAGATTTGGTTTATGAAAGGAGTGTTATTGTAGACAATTTTCTTAAACTTGACTACATAGCTAAGTGGCTGTAAAGACAAACCACACACACACACACAGAGGAATTGTCTTACTAAGGACAAACAATGATTTTTTTTTGTAACTATGAGATTATGTGTTACACAAAGCTATTACTGTTCATTTGTATGAATGAATTTAAAGCCATCCAGTGGGGATCTGACACTTAAAACTCTTCATTTCCTTATCTGCTCTTTTGCTATCAAGTCTGTGTGGGAGGGCAACTCAGTGGCTTTTGGCTCCTTTTCTATGAGTCTCATTGTCTCAATGAAGGTTGTGTGTATTTAAAAATAGTTTCATGTTTCCCATTCAGAAAAAGTGGTTCTTTAAAGCTTCCTAATTTTGAGATTGCAATCTTCACTGATAAATACACACATCTGAATATGCAATGAATGGTTTTATATCACTCATTCTTAGTGGTGTGTTTTTAAGACAGGTTTGTTCTCATCTGTACAGAAAACTAATTCCCGAATATGATGAAATTAGACATGACAGATGAACATCTCTGCTGTTTAGGATTAATAAAATGCAAAGATAGTGGTCATGGGACAAGGTAAGGAAACTCCAAGGTTAAAATATTTATAAGCATGGTCTCAGTAGAATCTAAAGTCACTGTCACCAGGGAAGGATGTGATATCTAATTATCCTATAGCATGATCTGGTAAATCATTTTATGCATGGGCACATTATATGAGCTATACATTCTTACCCCAGTGGTGAAGTGAGAACACTATTCACATGTTACATTATGCTTTATAGTTATACATGTGCACTGAGATACTGACAGATAGTTCAACTGAATGATCCTAACAATTTTAGAAACAAGCATAAGCCATTCAACTTTGTGTCATTTCCTCACAATGTATTCCTAACTTAATAAGCTGAAGAGAATATTATAGTAGTAAAATAAAACCCACTTTATCACTGTGCTATTAAATAAACCACATTTGAAATAGACATGAGGAGCTGGGTCCCAAATCTGTGTAAGTTTTCTCAATAGAGTAGCTTCATAGGTAAGTTTAACTGAGGTTAAATTACTACGCTAATTGGCCTAGGAAGAGTGGATTTAGGAAAATGAGGTCACCCTCGCTTGGCTTAATTCTACACCTTCTCTAATGTAAACCACCTCTTGGCAAAAGCAGCTCCTTTTGGACCAGGTAATCTGAAAAGAATTTCATTTAGGACTTTTCGTGGCTATTTCCTATAATAGTACAGCAATTCAAAGTCGCTTCTATTTGTAGAAACCATTTGTAGTCAATAAAAAAGCCACAATCCAAATTAATATAAAAGAGTTTTGGGAATTATTTAAAAGTTGCTTCTGATGGAAGAGACAAAATAAAAATGAATGTTGTATGCACCGCATATCTAAACAAAGGGCTGACTGGACCACTCACTCAAGCCAGGTACACCAGTCATACTAACCAGTCCCAGGAAAACTTTAAATAAAACTCTGCTTGTCCACTCCCAACTAAATACTACAGTCTCTTACAATATAATTCGGTCAAGAAGTAAGATCGAGAATAAAGCCTTTCCTGAGGAGATGGAGGCTGGTTTCACAGGAGACCTGTGAATAGTCTGCTCGCCACCATGTTTACATCATAGCCTGAGCTCTCAGAACCTGGCACTTATTTTAACAAGTCATCTATGCCTCTAAAGGTATAAATGAAAACTTCGCCATACAAGACAAAGAATGAGTAAAGCTCCTCTTTCAGTCACCTTGACCTGTGACCCTGTCACCCCGACTCTAGTCCTCCCTACCCTAAGTAAAATGTTTTTTCCATCAAAGCGTATGAGACAAGATGGCTCAAAAATCAGTTTGGCTGAAGGTTGACGCCAAGCTCAGAACTGCTTCCATGTGTTATCTCTGAAGCTTCAGGTTTCAGGGCCAGTTCATTAATGGAATAATGTCAGGGTAATAGGAGTCAAGTCTGGTAAGTTTTGTTTATTATCAAGCCATCTACAGGACGCCAACATAAGTAAGGTGAGCTAGTGGAATAATGAATGCATCTGGACTGGAAGAAAAAGAAACATCAATCAAATCACTTCTTCCTCTCAAATTTCCCATTGAAAAGCAAAAACACAACTGGGAACAAGTCTGAGATTCCCTGCTTTTCAGTGTTACTCAACCTCACTTTCAAAGTGCCATCGGTTGCTAAGTCTATCAAATGGACAGCTCCCTCACCATGGCAGTGACCAGCATGCAAGGAGGAAGAACTACACTTGGAAAATAACTGAGAGGCATATATATACATTAAGAGCACTAGGATTTTTAAAAATTATATCTAGAAAATACTGTGAAAATATATATATCTCAAAATAGAACTAGGTTTAGTTAGAAGGCTCAGTAAAATCATTACTTAAAAAGCTGACCAGTTAAAAAGGACAGGCCAAAGTAACCTTCCCATCTTTGACTTTCCCACTCCCCTGCCCTTAGACTCTACAGACTGATGTAGGAAAACAGAATTATCTAAAAGCCATGAGAAAGTGCTGGTATTTTTCAGGAGTTTCAAGACAATTTCCATCTTGGCAACATCAATCTTCTCTTTGATCATGGCAACTGATGCACTTTAAATGTGTTGGGAGTTGCTGGCTCGAAGACCTCATCATCATCTTCTATCCCTTCTTCAATCGGTTTCATCTTGGCAGAGGCTCGCTGGTGAGGAGATGCCATATCTGTCAAAGGTCACAGAGAGGAAAACCATTTAATGTGCAACTTGCCCTGATATAGGTGTGATGGATCGCTTAGAAACTCCATTTGGAAGAGACCATTTACGGGACATCTGTAGGTATATAAAAATCTACTGGTATATAGAAATTTGGTATTAGGAATTCAATTTCCCAAAACATTCTATTTTCAATCCAGTATCTTGATAAAATAGCAAAGTCAGGAAGTGTTTCTCAGTTTATGAGAAAAGATATGGAGTTGATTCTACTGAATTTGCTTGGATAATGACTGAATTTGCTTGGATAATGAGTTCCTGAAACACATTCATGCTCCAAAAGCGTATTCCTAGAAAACTATCATAGCTGGTCACTAGTGTTGACCTTCAAAATGTATTTACTGTGAATTTTCATAAACAACAGTTCTACAGTAAAACTAACAAAACAAATTCCTTCCCGCCACTGGCCCAGTCAGTCCCTGAACTGATGCTGGAAGGGGAGAGATCTTCTGGTGGCAAAAGTCAGGTAGAGGAGACAATCTCAGGGCTAGCAGCAGAGAGAGGGCATCCCTCAGACATCTTAGGATGCCCGTTAATGCAAAGAACCAAGAAATAATTCAGTCAGTTGCCCATTAACCAAATACTTAACCAGCTATCTAACAAATAAAGGGCACTTGTGTTTGATGTAAAAGAAAATATTGTCTAAAATTGAGAGAAGAAGTTATTAAGGGAGTTCTGATGGTCTAGTGGGTAATGAGTTGCTCTGCTAATCCAAAGGCAGGCAATTCAAATCCACTAACAGCTATGAAAGGGAAATCTCCTATGTGATTTACTGCCACTAAAAACCTGCGCGAGTGATCTGGTTAACGGAACAAGCAGATGGTGTACAGGTGACCATGAAAATTTGTTAAAGTCAGTTGACAAGAGCCAGCAGAAGAGAGCAGAGCCTCCCAGCAAAGAGAGGACATTATAGCCATTGGGGGACAAGAGGGTGGATCAGAGAGGCCCAAAGCCACCAACCTGCTCCCTGGAGGAAGGCCAGAAGCAGCAGTAAGGACACGTGTCCCGTGCCCAGCCAGTGTGTCACAGGGTGGGTGGAACAGCATGAATGATGGTCAGATGTGTCCTGAGCCTTGTTTTCCTGCTTTACTGGTTCTTGTGTGAGATTGACTTGATTTCTAAATCTCTTTAGGCCTCATCCTTCATAGCTCTGTTGTTAGCTGTCATTGTGCATGCTGAGTCATGACGACATGTGTGTAACAGAATGAAACGCTGCTGTGCCCAGTGCCATCTTCATGATCACTGGGCTTCTCTGGTTCTGGCTGACCTTCTACTTTACCAACCATGGTGTTCTTTTCTAGAGTTTAGTCTTTCCTGGTGACATATCCAAAGCAAACCAAAGTCTCCCCACTCTCATATCTAAGCAGTGTTCTGACTTTAACCTCAGATTTAGGCTCTGGTGGCCTTGTGGTAAGAAGCTGCATGAGGTTCGAATTCACCAGTTGTTCCACGGGAGAAAGATGGGCCATTTACTGCTTCTGAAAACCTGCTGGTGGGTCAGCTATGAAATCGGTTCAACAACAACAACAATATCTTTGGAAAAGGAACAATCAAATCTCAAAGGGCTCTTTGGAAGATTATTGATGACACAAAATATGATATTAGAGGCAGAGGCTGGATTAGAAATCAATAAAAACAGCTGCAAGCATCCTTTAATAGATGAAAAATGAAATGTACGGAGTATGAATGTTGGAAAAATAGAAGTTGTGAAAAATAAAATGGAACGCATGAACATCAACATTCTGGCCACTAGTGAGGTGAGACGGACCAGCTTTGGCCACTTTGAATCAGAAACTCACATGGTATAACATGCCAGGTATGAAAAACAGAGTAAGAACGGTATTGTTATCATAGTTAAAAAGACAAGTTAAAGTTCTAGCCTAAAGTTCAGTGTTGTGAGTGATAGGAAATTATCCATATGCATACAAGGAAGATCTGTTTTGCAATTATTACTCAAATATATGCATTAACAACTAAAGCCAAAGGGAAGGAGGTTGAAGATTTTTATAAAATTTTGCAGTCCAAACTTGGCCAAATGTAGACTAAAAATGTGTTAATGGTATCTGGTGACTGACTGCAAACTTTGGAAACAATGAAGGAGGAAGGGTGGTCCACCACAGTGCTAACAGGCGCAGTCCGAGGAGACCCTGGGGTCCGGAGCATCTAGGTCTCCTCCCTGCAGGCACCATCTGCTAAGTCCTCTGCCAAGAACACTTAGCCACGGGGTGGAAGAGGCTTCAGTATCTACAGAACATGCTGCATTCACAGAAATAAAGGTACCAGGATGAGAAATGCTTAACTAATAAATTTTTGTTGTTGTTTTAGCATTTTCAGGGCTAATTTCACACTGACTGTATTAATAGAATAAAAAGGTCATTAAAAAAAAAAAAACCAACCAAAGTAAAAGAAGGAAGGGTAGTTGGAAAGTATGGACCTGATGACAAAAAATGAGGCCAGATGCACAATGACAGAATTCTGTATATTCAACAATTAATTCATCACAAGTATCTTTTAAGTAACAAATAGTGCATGAGACCATTATTATAAAAATACAGCGATAACTAGTAAAACATGAATGGGGACCCAAGCTGGGGAAGGGGTGGAGGCAGAGGAGTGAGAATGAGTAGAGGCGAAATCACTGAGTTGCACAATTTGGAGGGTGGAGAGAGAAGGTAAAGAAATGGGAAAGATTTGGTGGGGACCTGAAAAGACAGGGTAGTGGTGGGCTTAGTCCAATGGTGATCAATTATATAAAGCATAATGAATGTGAATGAATAGTGTGAAACACATGTATACAAAATTTGTAAGCAGACCAACAAAATTAAAAAAAAACATTAAAGGGCATCTGATTTAAAAAAATTCCACACACATAAATAGCAACTTTACACATGGACCTTCACCAGATGGACTCAATAGTAATCAGATTGACTACGTCTGTGGGAGAAATCATTGGAGAAGGTCAATATCAACAGTCCAAACAGGGTCAAGTGCTGACTGTGGAACAGATAATCAATTACTCATTTTTTGTGTTCAACTGAAGCAGAAGAAAATGAAAATGAGTTCATGAGAACCAAAATATGATCTCGAGTCTATTTAATCTCAATTTAAAAATCACTTTAAGAACAGATTTGAAGCACTGAACACCAGTGATCGAAGACCAAAGGAGTTGTGAGATGCCATGAAGGATATTATCCATGAAGAGAGGCAAAGATCACTACAAAGACAGAAGAGAAAGAAAACATGAAAATGGATATCAGAAGAGACCCTGAAGAGTGCACTAGAGCATGGAGAAACCAAAACAAAAGGAAGAGAAGCTGAAGTAAAAAGAGCTGAACAGAAGATTTCAAAAGGCAGCTTGAGAAGACAAAGCAAACTATTACAATAGAATGTGCAGAGACCTAGAATTGAAAAATAAAAAGGGAAGAATGAATTCAGCATTTGTAAAACTGAAAGAACTGAAAAACATACCTGAGACTTCAGTTGCAATACTAAAGGATGCTATCGGGAAAATCTTGAATGATTCCAGAAAAGAAGATGAATGGAATACACAGAAATCACTGTACAAAAGAGAATTGGCCAACACCAAAATATTTCAAGAAATACCATATGATCAAGAGCCAAGGGTAATGAAGGAAGAAGTTCAAGCTGCAGTAAAGGCACTGGCAAAAATAAGATCCTAGGAATTGATGAGATAACAATCAATATGTTTCAAATGACAGATGCAGCTCTGGACAAGCTCATCAGTCTATGCTAGGAAATTTGGAGGACAGCTGCCTGGTGGACTGTGATTTCATATCACATATGGACACACGTACTTGCATCTCTCGCTAACAAGGAAACAATCTTGAGGGTTATAAGTACAACCTCTTCACTCTTGCAGTCTGTCTCTCAGAAGTAACATCCTCTGGCTCTTGATAATTATTTGCTGTATATGTATGGTAGCCTAGAAATGGCCACCAAAATATATCCAAGTCTTAATCTCTGGAATTTTTATTGGTTTACAAGGTGGGGAAAAAGGATCTTTGTGAAGGATTTGTGATGAGGAAATGAACTTGGATTATCCATATGGTTCCTAAATGAAATAATATGCACAGAAGATTTGAGGACACACTGAGATGAAAAGAGCAGGAAGAGACTGAAGACCTGGCCGCAGAAATTGTTGTGACCTGTCCATAAACCTAGGGCTCCCATCAGAAGCTGGAAGAGGCAAGGAAGGAATTCTTTCATGGGGTCTCCAGAGAGCACAAGACCTTATCAACACCCTGATTTGGGGCTTGACACTTAACTTTGGAGCCTCGAAATTCAAATTTGTGAGAAAATAAATTGTGGTATGGTGATCCATTACAGTCACTGCAGGAAGCCAATGCTATGGATGATTTTTAAAAAAGAAATGAAGTAAACCCAAACCAAAATTATACCTCCAAAGGACCTCCAGAAAGCTGATTCTAAGAACTTTTGGAAAACACAAAGACATTACATCATAAGGTCTGACCAGTCAATCCTATCAGTGAGGCCCCAGCACTCTCCTCCAGTGCAAGAAGCTCTTGAGTTATAATAAAACCTCACTAGGGAGGATAGGAAGAGAATTGATGCCTTTGAGTTGTGATGTTGAAGAAGAGTATTGAATATTCCATGGACTGCTAAGAAAACGAACAGGTTCATCCTGGAGAGGGTTAAACCAGGTTGCTCCTTGGAGGCAAGGATTCTGAAGCTTTGTCTGACATACTTTGGACATGTTGCAAGGAGGGACCTTGGAGAAGAACGTCATGCTTGGGAGGGTGGAGGGACAGCACAGGAGAGGAAGACTCTCTATGAGGTGGATTGATTCAGTGACTGGGGCAATTGGGGTAGGTGTGTTGGAGACAGTGAGACTGGCACAAGATAGAGCAGGGTTTAGGGCTGTTGTACATAGAGTCACAGAGAACTCAACAGCACATACCAACAACAATATGT